CAATCGACTACACCTTTTAGATCCCGAAGAGACCACTTAAATCATGTTGCAATAGAGCCCACTCTCTACAACAAGACATGAGATAATATCGGTTAGCCCAAATTCCGAGATATCAACACCCACTCACTACCTCTGTGTGAATTTTGTGCCACTTTTACTTTGGTTCTCCTGAACAAAACCTTCCGATAAAAAGAACAAGAAATATTAAAGCGTTTATTCACCTGCAGGTGTGCCAGAGGCTACGTTTAACAAGGACTGACACGCAAACGCAAAAGAATGTGAGAAAGAAGCATAAAAGAGCCATGGGTAAGGAGCTGACAGCAGGTGCTATGCGCCAGTCAGCAAGTGTCTACGTAAGGGTAGAGAAAGTAAAGCAAAAAAGGATGGATAAGACATTGGTCAAGAAAATTGGTCGGTGAGTAGGACCTCGGTGTGTGTAGGCGAGACGTTACAATTGAAACAATGCCTCTGATTTGAGAGTCAAGGTAGCTGGAAATTGTGGCAATGGCGTACAGTGAAGGCGACTACAGCTCCACCGACGCATCACTCGCCGCTGGTTGCGCTCCTCCGACACGCCTCCGCAACCACACAATCGCCACCATGCATACCGTCCCGCCATACTCTACGTCACCAGAAAGTGCTTCCTCACACCATTGACTTGATGCCTACCGCTATTAGTGACTTCGGTCTACTCTGTCTAATTTTCTTGATCAATCCCTTCCACCCTTTTAACTTGACACATCCCATTTCATCCGCACACCTCTTCTATTCTTTCCCCTCCATGCACGTGACATTACAATGAATAAACGTCCCTTCTTGTAGCAAATCGTCTGCCCTTGGCTCTGCGTCGTGTCGAATCCAAAGAAGTCCTCACTGCTAACGTGCGGTAGTGAGCAAGCCTGGACACGACGAGCTTTTACAGTCCTGGTAGCTACTGCCCGACTGAACGGCGGGAATACCTTGAACGTATTTATGGTGCTAATTGACCTTGGCCTTAGAGTGGTTAGCTGTTCACATGCGGCATATCTCTGCTCAATATAAGCCAATAAGGAGGGGCTGAACAGGAGCAGAAGTTCATACTATGCTCAAAGATCTTCAGTCAAGTGAAAACCTCCAAAATTATTACAGGATTTAATGAACAAAAAGCTGGAATGTAAAAAAATATGAATATTGAAAAATTGGATACCAAAACTTTTCGATGTTTGCAGACATTCCAGAGGATATAATATACCTACATTTTTTCCCCATTCTTTTAAGAACATTCAAGCATAAAGGACTAACAAGTTCAACCCTCAAATCTATGTAAACTACCGAGAGTGCAGGGAATCGGTATAAGAGCTTTTTACTAAGTTTGGCGATTTGAGTAAACTGATTACGTAGAGAATTCATTCACTTATCCCCTTGTTCATGCGGCTACTTATCAATGACATCCTTGAGTTAATTGCGCTTCAGCGAAATTTTCTCCCTGTTCTTCATTCCTGGTCCATTCAACTTGGTTCTTCTTTCCTTT